AGTGACGAGGAAACTTGGAATAGACAAAAATCGGGTGTATGCACTCAGAGACAAGGAAGGCAAAATAACTACAAATATGGATAGGATAGTTAACATAGCTGGGGAGTTTTACAGAGATCTGTACAGGATCAAGGACAACCACGACCTTAATATAAGAACTAGCAGTAACCCAGATGACACCGCACCAGTAATGATAGAAGAAGTCAGAAAAGCCTTGGAGAACATGCAAAGAGGCAAAGCTTCTGGGGAGAATCAGGTAACATCAGATCTGCTGAAAGATGGAGGACATTTGTGTTAGAAAAACTAGCCACCCTGTTTACGAGGTGTCTCCTGACGGGAAGAGTACCAGAGTCTTGGAAGAGCGCTAACATCATCTTAATACATAAGAAAGGAGATGCCAAGGACTCGCAGAATTGCAGTCCGATCAGCTTGCTCTCCGTAGTATAAAAGCTTTTTAAAAAAGGTTATTGCTAACAGAATTAAGACATTAGAATTCAATTAACCAAACGAACAAGCAGGATTTCGAACAGGCTACTCAACAATCGACCACATTCATACCATCAATCAGGTAATAGAGAAATGCTAAGAATATAGCCAGCCTTTATACATAGCCTTCATAGATTACGAGAAGGCGTTTGATTCAGTAGAAATGTCAGCAGTCATGCAGGCACTGTGGAATCGGCGTCGACAAAGCATATATAAACATCCTGGAAGAAACCTACAGAGGATCAACTGCTATCATAGTGCTTCATAAAAAAAGCAACAGAATACCAATCTAGAAGGGTGTAAGGCAGGGGGATACAATCTCCCCAATGCTATTTACCGCGTGCTTACAGGAGGTTTTCAGAAGCCTAGAATGGGAACAGTTAGGGATAAGAGTTAATGGAGAATACCTTAGTAACTTGCGCTTCGCCGATGACATTGCATTGCTGAGTAACTCAGGGGACGAACTGCAACCCATGATTACGGAGTTAGACAAGGAGAGCAGAAAGGTGGGTCTTAAAATTAATCTGCAGAAAACGAAAGTAATGTACAACAACCTCGGAAAGGAGCAGCGCTTCGAGACAGGTAATAGTGCACTTCAAGTTGTAAAAGACTATGTCTACTTAGGGCAGGTAATAACCGCGGAGCCGAACCACGAGATTGAAGTTACTAGAAGAATAAGAATGGGGTGGAGCACATTTGGCAAGCACTCTCAAATTATGACAGGTAGATTACCACTATCCCTCAAGAGGAAGGTATATAACAGCTGTATCGTGCCGGTACTTAGCTACGGAGCAGAAACCTGGGGACTTACAAAGGGGGTTCAGCTGAAATTGAGGACGACGCAGCGAGCAATGGAAAGAAAAATGGTAGGTGTAACCTTAAGAGACAAGAAGAGAGCAGAGTGGATTAGGGGACAAACCGGGGTTAAGGATATCATAGTTGAAATCAAGAAGACAAAATGGACATGGGCCGGGCATGTAGCGCGTAGAAAGGATAACCATCGGTCATTGAGGGTAACTAACTGGATTCCCAGAGTAGGCAAGTGGGTTAGGGGGGAGACAGAAGGTTAGGTGGGCAGATGGGATTAAGAAGTTTGTGGGTATAAATTGGCAGCAGCAAACACAGGGCCGAGTTGACTGGCGGAACATGGGAGCGGCCTTTGTCCTACAGTGGACGTAGTCAGGATGATGATGATGATGATGATGATGATGATGATGATGAATTTTATGCACGTGCGCTGCATTCTGCTAAATGCATAACTTTCATCGTTTGCCACTATTTTCCATCGCTCACTCACGTGCGGATGTACTGTAATTGATTGGTAAGTGGCGTTTAACGTCCCAAAACAATATATGATTATGAGAGACGCCGTAGTGGAGGGCTCCGGAAATTTCGACCACGTGAGAATCTTTTACGTGCACCCAGATCTTAGCACACGGGCCTACAGCACCTTCGCCTCCATAGAAAATGCAGCCGCTGCAGCCGGGATTCGATCCCATGTCCTGCAGCTCAGCAGCCGAGTACCTTAGCCAGTGGACCACCAAGGCGGGGCACTTCGAAACGTAGGTTGCTTATGTTGGACCGGCCTGTCCTCACTTGTGGAAAGGTCAGCTTGAGCTCACAGCCCCTGCTTAAGGATTTTCTCATCGCAAGCTTCCCTCTGCCCTTTCATGTCGTTTTTTTAACAATAGTGATGGGTAATATCAAGTAGCTATAGGTTACTTGCTGGGTATTAGGTCAGCGCCCACTGACTTGAGTGCTCCGTCCGACTAATTCTCGGCACTGATTGCCTTTTCTCCCGCATACATGCACGACAGACCTCGGTACTGGTGCACAATGCTTCCTGGCTGCTCAAGTGGGCATTCGTCGGCTGCTCCTTGTTCTCCATCGTAGAGCTGCTACAGAGGCCGCAGTTGACACCGCGGCGACCGGTCTGCTACACACTTTGTGATCTCGGCTATCTGGTGAGACTTTCAAGAGAAACGCCTTCCTTAACGCGTGTTCACTCCTTCACTAGTTCATTTAGAAAGCCTTTGAAAATAGCAAACAGTAATGCAAAGCTTATAACAAGAGCAGACTGAGCTACAGTTGAAACTCAGTCTAACGAAGGTCATTTTTTTATTTCCCGATACAACGAAAAAATTTCTATTACCTTGCAGGTATCAATAGGGCTGAATGTTATCATCAGTTTAAACTGCAAAAAGAGCAATCATGTCAATAAACCTGATTCAACCAAGTTCTTGCGGAAATAAAAGATTAGATGATGCAGTCACTTCTTTCAAATTTCGAAACGGACGTGTTATTCTTGTCAGTCCACAAACTTTACTAGTGACCATTAGCAGTGTGAACAAGGCCACCGTGAGCGAGCCGGAACGTCCGTTATATTAAAGTTATTTTTGGATGGCGTGTTTCTGTTACTTTTCAACATTAATCGTGACCCTATTGTTTTACTCTGACGAAACTCTATACGCAGAATCCACGCAGGGAACAACAGGGTTAACAGTCGCTAATGCATTTACACACCAAAAGCTGGGAGGGTCGGTGATGGTCTTTAATCCCTGTGAATTCTCGCCCAGTGCTTGCCTTTTTTTTTGATGGTTTATGGGAGAGATGGCACTGATCGTATATTTGCTCCTTTTTTTTTTGCTCAACCTTATCGCACATTGGCTGCATTTGTTCTGCATAAAGGCGATGAGTCATAGCTTTATGGGCCGTCTATCTAGCCAGTTTTACCCTGACGTGAGAGGCTTCGTATTCTGGTTGCCCTCGAGGGCCATTAAAACGCACGGACGTGTCCTACCGGTTAAAAAAAAAACACTGTGGCAGCTTTCGGATGTTGATACTTTACAATTTTAGATTCTTAAAGGCCGAAAAGCATATTTCTCGATTTTACGAACTTCACTATAGTGAACGAATAAAGAAAGAGAGTTTTCGAGTACTTGTGTCCTTTGCTTGGGACAATCCTAGGAAAAATCATCTGATAATAAAGTCACGGAAGGTATAGAAGACATTATTTTTATCGTTTTATGGTTACCGTAGTAACTGCGATTATGATACCGCCATGCAGGGACCGATTCTGTGACCTTCAGATTCGGGCATGGTCATCACTTTCTTCAACTGAGTTTTATTTATTTATTTATTTATTTATTTATTTATTTAATTTACCCCTCAAGGTCCAATGCATTCCAGAGGAAGTTGGGAATCAAGATTAAATACCTATAAATACCAGTAAAAGGAATACAGTCGGTAATAATACCAGTCAAGTAAAACGGACTTCTAAACCTAAATAATACTGGTTATAGTGCTTTTCAAAACGTTTATTGTGGGTGATTGACGTGACTTCAGCTGGGAGGTGGTTCCACTCGATCGTGGTGCGTGGTGAAAATGATTGGGAGAATGTTTTAGTTTTTGAAAATGGAACACCTACTTTATGGCGATAATCTTTGCGGTGGGACATATGCAGTGGTGAAAGAAGGAGGGCGCTAAAGTTTTAACATTAGCCTATTTGTTGTTCTCGCGCTGTTCTTATGGATGGGTATCAACAAGGACAAGTTCACACGCTTGAGTTTTAGTGGTAGTTGGTCAGTAAAGCATTCGTCTCTAAATAGTGTGGCCTTGCGAACAAGGACACTTCAGAAAGGGACGAGATCGCATAAGCATCGACTATTATCCGATGGACTATCATCTAAAAAAAAAGAAGATTACGAATGATGTCGTTTTTAACAAGCGCAGAACTGAACAAGGTGACCATATGCTACAGTTTTGCTTGCCGAATGTTCTAAATCACCCTCGCACAGACTCAAAACAAAAATCAGCAAATGTTCAGCGAATGTGCTTCGTCAGCTTAATCTTTTAGAGTTACTATTTCAAATCTGGCCACTAATTTCAAAATTCCCTCGAAGCAAAACCGAAACACAACAATAAACGAAGCCACAAGTGCGATTCGCGGCACAAAGTACGAAGACTATAGGAAAATCCGTGTACTACCAAATATTCCCATAGTAGCTGAATGATCGCAACACCAGAGTCCCCTCCAGTTAATTTTAGGAAATTCTATAGGGGAAAGAGAGAGGTTCATTGTGATAGACATGGATGGACAAAAAAAAATCGCAGCTTTTCTACAAAGGCGAAGCAATCAACGCGAGAGCAACAAATTGGAAGGTCACGTGCAGAGTGGCAAGCAGATCGAAACGTGCCCCGCGTTTCTCACGGACAAATGACGCACGAAACGTACTCTCGAATACAGGTGAACGCAAATAAGCGTCTCAGTTGTTACTTTGCCATGTCTGTAAAGCGCCCTTTTCGCAAACGGAGGCTGTGCAACGATTCCTTTGTGCGCCCCGTAGCTACAACAGAATCATTCCAGTGCAAGCCCAACGCCAGCAAAGACATATGACCATCCCCACCGAGAGATAAGGGTTCGTGAGAAATCGCGCACTCCCTTCCTCTTCGCGGGCCAAAGTACTCTTTAGAGATGAGATCCGCCGTGCGCTCGTTGCGCTATCGTGCTGATAATGCTAAAAGCACGATACTCGCCGCCCCCGAAATGCCCGCCAACAGCGGTAAGTGGTAGATATAAATAGCTTGCCGTTTGAACGTAGAATGAGGTACTCCTCGGTGGTTCCAATGAAGAGAAAAAAAAAAAAAAACACCCTCGGTGGCTCAGTGGTTAACGCCTCGCGCTCACGACGTGGAGGTCCCACTTCTGAATCCGCATGTTGGAGTTTTTTTTTTAAATTTTTAAAGGGCGAAGCTTCTTATAGCGGCACCCGTTCGTCCCTCGTAATCGTAGTAGTAGTCGTAGTGTGTAACCAGTCTTACATTTTGACCTCCAAGGGGGTGTCGGTGAGAGATTTCTTCTGTGCATTGTTGAACAATAAAAAAAAATTGGCAGCATATTCATGGAGTGAATGATGGAGAGTGGGACGAAGCATTCGTCCGTCCATTCGTTGTTGCTTCCGTCCGTCCATGCGTCCATCTGTGTGACCATCCATGCGTCCATCCACCCATCCGTGTGTGCGTCTGTTCGTGCGTCCGTCCCTGCGTTCGTCCATGCATCCGCCCCTGCGTCCGTTCATGCGTTCATCTATGCATCTGTCTGTGTGTCCGTTCGTCCATCTATTCAACACTCCAAGTACCACCATCTCACATCTTTTCATCATATATTCCCCGTATAGAAGCACCGCCATCCAGCGGACATTCCAAGGACTAAACGATAGGTGGCACACGCACACTTTCTTACGGCTTGCGTTTCTGTGTCTACTTCCCACATTGAACCACCTCCAGTTCATGGTATATACTAGTTCATTGTATTCATGGCACTGCGGCCCAACGCCCAGCGAGTATAACGTAGCAGCCCTTTCTTGTCAGATAGTGCTCAATGTACATCTCAATGGCTGCTAATGGGGTTCGCAGCGTGCGCGTTAACTAAAAGCCGAATGATCCTGTCTCTCATTGCCCCTTAGCAGTCATTTGCATGTACATTGAGCACTAGCTGACAAAAAAGCGTTGTTACGTTATACTCGTTGGGCGTAACCTCCTTGGTTTTAGAAAGGTTTAGCGAGCGTTGGGCCGCAGTTCCATGAATACAGTGAACTAGTACATACCATGAACTCGAGGCGGTTGAAGGTGGGAAGTAGACACGAAGCGCAAGCCGTAAGAAAGTGGACGTGTGTCACCTCTCGTTTAGTCCTTGGAATGTCCGCTGGATCGCGGTGCTTCTATATGGAGAATATATGATGAAAAGATGCGAGATGGTGGTACTTGGAGTGCTGAATAGATGGACGAACGGACACACTGACAGATGCATGGATGAACGCATGAACGGACGCAGGCGTGGATGCATGGACGAACGCAGGGACGGACGCACGAACAGACGCACGCACGGACGGGTGGATGGACGCAAGGACGGTTACACAGGCGTACGCAGGAACGGACGGAAGGAAGAACTAATGAACGGACGGATGCTTCGCCCCACTCTTTATCATTCACACCGGGAATATTCTGCCATTTTTTCTTTCTTGGTGATGCCAGGGCAATACTTAGTTCTTGTCATTTCTTTAACAAATCAGCCGTTCCATGGCTGTGCCTGACGACAGACGGGTGTCCGCGTCGCATATAATGCTCTAGTTGCGAGATATAGCCACAGATGGCGCAACTGGCGAAGGCTGCTCGAGCGGGAATAAGGCCTGGAGTCACTGTAGCAGGGAAGTGCGTAACATGGGCCGCCACACCTCCTTTACTGTGGATCTCTATTCTTCAAATAATGTACTTTAAACACCCTTACAGTATCGCGAATCATCGTAAAAAATCACAAGGGAAACGCAGGAGAATCGCGCTCCGCTGTTTTCTGCGGATATTACACTGGGTTTAACGGGGGCGCACCGTGAAATGGGCAAATATTTTTTTTTTTTCGTTTCCAGCTCTGTATGATTCGGTGTGCACTGTCGTCCTTTATGAAAGGGAACACACGAACGCGTGGCCTGGTCTTTGCGGCGGCAGCCTACAGCACCATCAACCGGCAGCAAAAAAAAAAAAATATGTTCGATTTCAACGTCATCTGTTGCGAAAAAAAAAAGGATAACGAGTTATAGCCGGTAGGCAAGCGCTGCTAGATTGCAGTCCCTCTCTGCTCAGGCCTGCAGTGCGTAGTCCACTGCCAACATATCAAACGTTGTGCGCGACCACGGCGCAAGCTGCAGTAATCGCCCGATATCGCTCGCCGTGCTAACGTTGAGGGAACGTAATCTAGCAGCGCTTGTCTACCGCCCATGACTCGTTATCTTGCTTGGCCATAGATGTCGCCAAAAGCGAACGTGCTTTCTTCACTTGTCGGTAGATGGTGCTGTAGGCAGCCGCCGCAGAGAGCAGGCCACGCGTTCGCGTGTTCCCTTTCATAAAGAACGACAGTGTACATGTGGTTGCCTTGTTTTCAGGTTTGTAACGCCGTCACAATCGTTTTACTCGTCGTGGTCAATGCCCTCGTTTTCGATGGTTCCAAGGAAGCAGCCACGGAATGTGTCATGGTCATCATATTTGTGAGTAGAACACCGCAACATTCATATCACGTAGCCTTTTAGTTGTATAGCAGAGCACATGAGCCGCTCATTTTTTTCGGGGAGGGGGTGGATTTTTTTCGGAGAGGGGGAGGTAGGTAGATACATGAATAGATAGATAGACAGATAGATAGATAGATAGATAGATAGATAGATAGATAGATTGATTGATTGATTGAGCGAATGACTGGTGTCCAAATTAAGCGAAGGACAGGCATAGAAAAGTGCGGACAATCGTCGTTTCGTTGAAAACACACTCAGTATTTCTCAACATTCCGCTTTGGCGATGCGGCCCCGCCACGGTGGCCTAGTGGCTAAGGTACTCGGCTGCTGACTCGCAGGTCGCGGGTTCGAATCCCGGCTGTGGCGGCTGCATTTCCGATGGAGGCGGAAATGTTGTAGGCCCGTGTACTCAGATTTGGGTGCACGTTAAAGAACCCCAGGTGGTCAAAATTTCCGGAGCCCTCCACTACGGCGTCTCTCATAATCATATGGTGGTTTTGGGACGTTAAACCCCACAAATCAATCAATCAATCAATCAATCAATCAATCAATCAATCACTTTGGCGATGCGTGCGAACAGCCTCTTCGCGAATGGTACTCACCTCAGCCGCAATGTGGAGCTGTACGTTGAATGGGTTGCAAGATTTGTACCGTGACCTTCGACAGCGATACAATGATTTAACAGTTGATAGCGACACTACTGCAGTGCAAAGTCGAGCAGCGAAATGGCAATGTGATGCCAGCAACTGTACAGTTTGGCTCGTGTTGGTGACGTTACGTTGGTGAAACTGCTTGAATGATCTTTATTATACGCAATCTACCTTAAAAAAAACACTACGTTACACAACACGTCGACAGCTGCAAAATACGTGATTTCTGTACTGACAGAAGGTAAGAACCTATCTTACTCGTGTACCGTATTGATAACAGCTAGCTGTACGAGTGATGATTCCTGGTTAACGGAAAATTGGCGAAACAAGGAGAATGACTAACGTGAGATCAGCATATATGGAACACAGTACAGTGCATAGACCTTTTTTCTTATCTTATTATTATTTTTCGCGTATCCTGAATAACTATCAATCTCAAACTAATTTTATACGGCCCGCAGAGCCGTGCAGCTGTGGCGTTGTCGTTGGCAAATCGGGCTTCGGTTCTAGGTTGCGCGGAACAGCTGTAAAACTTAAAGCTTTCGGAACATTTTTCAGTGCATTGATTCGCGTTTATCGCGCGTACATATGCCATGCGCTTAAGTCACCCACACGTTTGCTGTTTTACGCATTTAAGTCGCGTCCGGTGGCGCATGTGTTACGAACCCGTTGGGTGGGTTTAAACGAGATGCCAGCTGAAAATATGCTTTACGAATTTAAATCTCTGTCCGCATAGTAATGTGATGCGGCACAGGGCCGTGAAAAGATTACACGTGGACGTGCAACGTTCTTTTGCAGCCTTTTCTGTGTTTTGAAGTAATTGTGTAGCGCGAAAAAACTAAAAAACAACAACACACAGACACACGTATATATATATATATATATATATATATATATATATATATATATATATATATATATATATATATATATATATATATATATATATATATATATATATATATATATATATATATATATATTGCCACAAGGCAGTAGTGGGATTGGGGCATAAAGCGGTAGAGGGTCCCAGGCTGAAAGAAAAGACTACGAAGTGGATAGAGACTGGTTCCAGCCCGCCAGTGCGCCAGGCATTGTCATCGCGTGTAATCGTTGTAAATATCTGTAAATATACGTTTTCTTGTAAGATTATTGGTGGAGGTGCTGGGTACGCCTACCTGGCTTTTCCGGCAAACCAACTCGGAACTTCGGAGTGGTCGCCACCTTCATTTTCCTGCAATGGCTCAACAGGCCCACCCACAAGAGCAGCAGCAGCACCAGAACCAGCACCAGCAGCACCAGCAGCACCAGCAGCAGCACCAGCTGCCTCCTCTGATTCTCCTGCCTCCACGAGACCCCGGAACCTTCTCGGGCACAGGCAAGGACAAGGTGAATGTTGAAAATTGGGTCGCTTTGTACGAGCGCGTGAGCGAATACTATAGGTGGGACCCTACGTTGATGCTGGCCAACGTTGTATTTTACTTGCGGGATACGGCGCTCACCTGGTATGAGACGCATGATTCGGAGTTGACCAGCTGGGACGTTTGCAAACTGAAGCTTGTCGAGTTGTTCAGCAGGCCATTTGGGCGACAGCAGGCCGCGAGGAAAGACCTGGAATGTCGCGTGCAGACATCGACAGAATCGTATGTATCTTACATACAGGACGTATTGGGCCTCTGTCGAAAGGTGGACGAGAACATGAGCGAAACTGACAAAATCGCTCACATATTGAAGGGAATTGCCGATGACGCGTTCAATCTGTTGATCGTTAAAGATTGCGCCACCGTCGACGCGGTTGTGAAGGAGTGTCAGCGCTTCGAGCACGCCAAGAACCGTCGCATAACCCGCCAGTTTGCGCGTCTGCCTAATACGGCAGCCACTTCGACCTGCGAAGACAGCCCCAAGTCCACGCAAGCTACATCGTCCGAAAATGTCACCCGAATCGTTCACCGCGAACTCGAAGCAATGGCTCCTGCAGCCATCGCCTCTGACGGTCCTCAAGACAACGCATCCACCGTCTCCCTCATCCAAGCCGTAGTTCGCCAACAAATAGCAAATCTCGGCATCACATCTGTTTGCGCTGTTCGCACCACCGAGAGCTCGGCTTCTGTTAACCAGATTCCGGTGTATCCTTTACGCTAACCTTCCCGCTACCGGAACCCTGCTGAATGGAGAACGTCGGATGATAGACCGATCTGCTTTCACTGCTCTCGCGCCGGCCACATTGCACGCTACTGTCGCAATCGTTGGTCATCCAATTCATCTTGGAACACTGGGACATGGCGTCGCTTTGAAGGCAGTTCTCGCCGCTTTTCTACTCCGTACGATCCACAGCCTGCTCCTACTATCGTTCAGGGCCGAAGGTTCAGCCGGTCACCATCACCCCAAGGCCACCGATCTCTCTCGCCGATGATTTCTCGATCCAGGTCCCCTGCACGACCTGGGCCCTCAACCTTGGGAAACTAGACCATGCAGCTCCCGGAGGTGACGCTGCATTAACGACCCATTCTGCAAATCCTCTGTTGACGATTCCTACACGCCGCAATATTTTGGACCTTTTGGTGGATGACGTTACCGTTACAGCCCTCATAGACACAGGTGCACAAATTTCAATCATGAGCGCTGCTCTCTGTATTAAACTGCGAAAAGTGATCACGCCTCCTATTAAGTGTGCAGTAATGCTTGCCGATGGGAGCACATCTGCCGTTCTCGGCATGTGTACCTCTCGTGTGTGTATTTCTGGGCGCCAGACCGTCGTATTGTTCACCGTGCTTGAGCAGTGCCCACAGGACGTGATTCTTGGCCTCGACTTTCTCTTTGCGCACTCCGCCCTTATCGACTGCTCGGCGGATCTTCTTCAGTTGGAACTGCCTTTTGGTGCCGCTGTTGCCCGTGATGTTCAAAGCCGCCTTTGTGCCACCGAGTTCCTGCATCTTCCGCCACAAGCCACGACTTACGTGCAGCTCGTGTGTGATCCGCCTGTGCGCGATGGTGAATATGTCGTTTAACCTATTACCGACGTTGTGCTAAAGCACTCCATTGCTGTCCCGCACACCGTGGTGAGAGTATGCCACAACCAGACCCATCTGTCTCTTTTGAACTTTGGTTTCTCCACGCATGTGCTGCCTGCTGGTATTAAACTAGGCGTCATGTCGTCGTTGGAAGAGTGTGATATTTCTGAACTGTCGGCTCAGCAACCTACTCCGCACGTCAACTTGCTCACTGCGCCCAACCTGTCAAGTATTGACATTGCCAAAATGATCGCGCCAGATCTTTCGCCCTCCGAAGCACAAGACCTCCACCGTCTGTTGACATCCTATGCGGACATATTCGATCTTGACAACCGCCCTTTAGGCCAGGCATCAGTTGTGACCCATCACATCAACACCGGCGATGCCAACCCAATTCATCGCCGCCCTTACCGCGTCTCCGCTGCCGAACGCTCTGTCATCCAGAAAGAGGTCGAGAAAATGCTCGCCAAAGGCGTCGTCGAACACTCATCTAGTCCGTGGGCATCCCCGGTCGTGCTTGTCAAGAAGAAAGACAACACATGGCGGTTTTGCGTCGACTATAGACATCTCAACAAGGTCACTAAGAAGGACGTTTACCCTTTACCAAGAATAGATGACGCCCTTGACTGCCTTCATGGCGCAAAGTTTTTCTCGTCTATTGACCTTCGATCCGGTTATTGGCAGATCGCTGTTGACCCACGGGACCGAGAAAAAACAGCATTTGTAACCTCCGATGGGTTATACCAATTTAAAGTAATGCCGTTTGGGCTTTGTAATGCGCCGGCCACCTTTGAGCGCATGATGGATTCTCTTCTGCGTGGCTTCAAATGGTCCACTTGCTTATGCTACTTAGATGATATAATTGCTTTTTCACCGACGTTCGCAAGCCATCTAGAGCGACTGTCCAGTATTCTCCAAGTATTTCGCAACGCTGGTCTTCAGCTGAACTCCTCCAAATGCCGTTTCGACCGTCGCGAAATAACTCTACTTGGTCACCTCGTTAACGCATCTGGGGTACAGCCCGATCCGGACAAAATTCGCGCAGTGACTCAATTTCCCGTGCCCTCTTCTCATAAGGATGTCCGGAGCTTCCTGGGTTCGTGTTCCTATTTTCGCCGCTTCATCCGAAATTTCGCCGATATTGCGCGGCCTCTCACCGAGCTTCTTAAAAAAGATGTCCTATTTACTTGGAATTCGCCTCAGAGTGCTGCATTTTCGGCGCTCATTGGAGCCCTCACGACTACGCCAATATTAGCCCACTTCGATCAGACTGCTCCGACAGAAGTTCGTACGCACGCGAGTGGCTACGGAATTGGTG